TCGACAGTGGGGCATTTATCAAAATGACTTCCTCCTTGGACACAACGATTTCATTCATCATCTAACATAGGATACCACAGAATACTATTTAAGGCTAAACGAGCATTGTTGTCCCGTATGGCTTCACTTCGTCTTTGGGCATCCATTCGTTCAGCAGTAATTTTGAGAGTATTGGCTCTTTGTCTTTCTAAGTCTTGCCGGGATTTCTTTTCTTGTTCGTAAAGGGCTTTGTTTTCGATTTCGGCTTTTTCGGCTAGTTTTCTTTCTTCTTCCATTTTGGCAATTTCTTGTTGGCGTTCTTCTCTTTCTTTGAGTAGTTGGTTTTCTTTTTTCTTTAATTCTTCTTCATCTTTTCTTTTTCTTTCGTCAATTTCTTTTTGGATTCTTATTTTTTCTTCGTTGGCTCTTTTTAAAATTCTTTGTCTTTCTTCTTCATCCTCTAAGGCAATCGCGGCTAATTCTTGCTCCTTTTTAAGTTCAATATTTTTGGCTTCTTGGGCTAGTCTTTCTTGTTCGGCCTGGTTTTCTTGTTTCATTTTCTCAATTTCATCCTGCCTTTTTTGCTCTTGGAGTTCATTTTCTTTTTTTTGATTTTCTAAGGCTAATTCAGCTGCTTTTTTTCGTTCAGAGAGATTTTTAGTTTTAGTGGCAAAATAAGCATCCTGTTCTTCTTGTAGTGCTTTTTCACGGGCTAATCTCGCTTCTTCTCTTTTTTGTTCTTCTTTTTCGGCTAATTCTTTTTCTTTTTGCCGTCTTTCTTCTCGTTCTTTTAATTTTTGGTCTTTTTCTGATAATTTGGTTTCTCTTCGCTGTCTTTCTTGGTCTTCTAGTTTTTTTAAGGCTTGTTCGCGGTCTTTTTTCTTTTTTTGACGAGAAGTTTCCTCAGCATTTAGGTTGTCAAGTAAGTTGTCATAGCGAGAAGTGGAAGATTGAGGTTCTTCGGTCTCGGATAACTCTTCCTGGCTGTCATAAAAAGTTTCTTGGGGTTGATAACCAGTTAAGGCTTGGTTAATTTTTTTGTTAATTAGTTCTTCCAGGTTTAAGTCTTTGAAAATTTCCCTTTCCTTTTTACTTTTTGAAGACACAAATTTTTCTCAGATAGTTTTGTTGATGGTTATTTCTTGGTTATTTAAAGAGTTTAAGTATTCTTGATAGTCTTCGGCTAAGTCAGAGTTTTCGGATAAGAAGTCATCCCAAGAATAATCGGTAAAGTTTTCTACGGTAAAAATTAATAACTCAAAGTAATGATAACGAGGAATAGTCTTCAATCCTAGGGTAAGCAAAATGTTCTTTTGATATTCTTGGAGGACTCCAATCTTCACTCAATTATCCAGCGATAAACTAATATTTAAATCTTCACCTTCGTCATCCGATAGTAATTTTAGCAAATCATGGACAATAGAAAGTTTTTGTTCGTGAATTTCTTCTTCTCGAAGGGATTTTTCTCTTTCTTTTGCTTGTTCTCTTAATGTCTTTTGTTCTCCTTCCAAAAATTTAGTTTTTAAAGTTAAATAAGGATTAGGGGCTTTGCCAAAATCAGTGTGAGGATTAGGGATTATTTGCTGATTAACTAAAAAGGATAAACTGTTGAACTTCAAATCTAAGGAGTTAAGTAATTCATGGATTTCTTGGGAATATCTATTTTGTTTTAGTAAAGGGGCTAAACTAGTGAGGATATTTTTTTGCTGAGGTTGTAAGGAAAAATTTTTTAAGTTAGCAGCATGGGTTAAATTCTCTTGCTGTTCTTCGGTTAAATTAATGCGACTTAGACCAAATTTCAATAAGTTGTCTTTTTGCTCTTGGCTGACTTCTCAATTAGAGGCATCAAAAAAACTAACGCCCATGTTTTCTAAACTTTGTCTTTGTTCTTGGCTCAGATTTAGGGTGTTGATTAATAATCTTAATACTCCTTCTTTTTCGGAAGTAGTCAGACCAAAATTTTTCTTTTCTTGGTAAAGAGTGCGATTCAATTCCACAAATTCTTCCTTTTTAGACTGAGTATTTATTCCTAAGTTATTTAATCCTGAATTAATTAACTGTAATTTTTGGGAAGTAGTGAGAGAAGAATAATTATTGGTTATTTCCTCTTTTTCTTCTAGTGTTAAGTGTGGGGTTTGGCAAGACAGAGCAATAAATTGTTCAGGAGTTAAATATAAATTGGCTAATAATTGTTGTTCTTCCGGAGAAGGAGTCGGTAATTTAGTTAATTTATTGATTAATGATTTGCTCTCTTTGCCTTTTTCTTCTTTTATTACTCTATCGACTTTCTCAAATTCTTTTAAAAGGATGGATTTTTCTTTAAATTCGGGGTATTTTTCATGGATTTT